TTTTTTTTTTTAATATATTTTTTTACAGTCTGAAGATTCTGTACAATAGTTTGATTACTAGAACAAGAATTAGAATTAATATTTAGTATAAGCAGCAGTCTCTAAGTTATTCTGTAGTCTATATATGTAGCATATACAAGCTTATATAGCGATAAGATGTCTATAACATCTAGATATAAGCTGCCTGAAATTTGATACATTATTTTTTATTTTTATTATTTATTTTTCTTTGAATTTTACTTATTCTTAGCTTATTTGTTAGTATTATCTAATTTAGTATTATTTATTTTTATAAAATTTTACATTTCCAATAACCACAAAATTATTATTAATTTCTAGGATATCTTGCAGTCAACCGCCCGCATTCGAATCACTCAATTTAGTGTTGCCTTTGTGGCACTAAATGCAAATGAAAGCGTCTCAACTTACGCGTTGACTGGGCGCCGTCGCCAAATGTGCTGGCCAAAAGGCAGGAACGGGAACGGGAACGGGAACAGGAGGCGGCTGCAGGGATAGCTGCAGAGACGGCTGCTTCCTGGAAGGAAAGCGGCTCTCCAACTGTCCAACTAGCTAGCTGGCCCAAAATGGAAAAGTGCTGCCGCATTCACAACGAACCAAATGATTGATCGCTGGCATCAATTTACAAGCTTATTGCGTTAGCTTGCGGCTTCGACAAGTTTCACTTAAGGCAAAAACTTAAAGACAAATCTTAACTTGGCTTAAGATTCGCTCCGACTATTTTCATTTCCTCGTCTCGGCGGCGCGCGCTTTTGCATTTGGTTAGGAACGTTTATGAAAATGTCTGGTACATGTTTCGCCTGCGCAAACAGAATGCGAGTGCTGCAATAAAATTCCATTACAGCCGCTTGACTTAAAAACTTGGCCCAAAAAAAAAAAAAAAAAAAAAAAAAAAAAAAAAAACAAGAAACGAACGTGGAGTGAAGCAAAATATTCGCCAAAGGAGAGTGTATTAAAAGCCAGCCAGCTTCGCGCAATGTGAATGCACAGATACACATGCATAAGTATGTGTGTGTGTGTGTGTGTGTGTGTGTGTGTGTGTTGGCTTTTTGCATATTTTATGAAACTTGGCGAACATTTAACACCCCCCGGCCAACGCTGCGTATGTGCAACGTACTCACCATAAACGCTGCAAACTCATTACTTGAATTTATTTTGCACTTAAACAAAATGTTTCATTTGCCACGAGCTGTGGCAGCCAGCCAGCCAGCCAGCTGCCCGTTTGGGGCTGCAGCCACATAAACTGTAACCGGTTGCAACACTTTAGGCGCTGCATCGGCCATGTCGGGCAGCCGGCTGGCAGCAGCAGCAGCAGCAGCTGCATCCTTCCAAATGCTGGCGATTGCTGCTGGCATGGTGCTTGATAAGATGCAGCTGCTGCTGCAGCCTGGTGGCGCCATCGCCCGCAGCCTTGAAGCTGGGGCACAACACGTTCGGCTTGTGCACAAAGCTGCAGCGCTCGCAAATATTTGCGGTGGCCCGCAACACCTCAGGATTGTGCATGCAGGCAGCCAGGACATCGTCCGGCAAGCCGAGATCAGCCCGACTCGATGATGGCTCGCTCTCCGGCAGCGGCGTCAATTCGGCGCCGCACTTAATGCACACATCCAGCTTGGCCTCCGACGGGCACTCGCATGGCGTGCACTCCTCGTCCGCCTGGCGCTGCCGGCAGGTGCGACGCGGCTCGTAGAACAAGCGCGTGATGCACGACGATGGACGCTTCTTCTCCGGCTTCGCGGTTGCTGCCTGGACGGCCCTGGCCTTCTTCGGCTCTTGCATCTGCTGCTGCACCTGCTGAATGGCATCCGACGCTTGCTCCATGGCTGCCAGGTGCTCAAAGTACTTGGAGTGTGCGCTCAAGATGCTCTGGATAACAAGTACCGAATAGCGATCATCCATGCGCTTCAGGTCCCGATATATATTTGATTCCGCCGAGACTCGATCGTTTTCCATCGATGAATAGGACATGGCGCTCTTCCGTTCGTTGGGTGCCTGCGAATAGGACGTGCGCTCCAGCTCATCCTGCGAATCGCTGTCCCTCCTCTCGCGCATATCCAATTTGTATGCCTTGGACTTCCCTTTGGTCTTTGCTCCATTTTGTATCGCTTCGTTGACAATTTCGCTAATGAATTTCAAATACTGAGAGCGCATCATTTGATAAATCACCGGCTGGGGTATTTGAACGTTTTTCAAATTCTCATACAGATCGTATAGGGTTTTCCACATATCATGATTTCGCACCGCATGGATGATCGCATTGCGATCGACCATTGCATCTAGTAAACTGGGCGCTGTGATTGTGTCCTTGAGAATATTTTGCACTTCAACTATCTTTCCATTATTATGCAGGGCCATTTTGGCCATTAGCTCGTGGCCAACAGTTGGCCGCTTGGACGATACGTGGAATGAAACGCCACGAGTCAGCTCGTCATTGTATGATTCGGACTTGTGCATATCGGACACTGATTTGTTGCGCAACAACACGGCAACATCTTTCGGCTGACCCTCCTCTTTGAGGCCCTCGAATATTATTTTCAGTGCACTCTTCTCCTTCTCCAATTGATCTGCAAACTTCTTCTCTGCCACCAAATCGACTGGCTGACTGCTTGTCTTTGGGGGCAACTGTGGTGCCTCTGCCTCCAGCAATTCATTGAGCTCCTCATCGGATTGCTCTCCGGGCTTCCCATCGCGCATTTTCTGCTGCAGTTTTCGTAGCTGCTGCAGATGGTGTATGTACTGATTCTGTGGCAGTTGCTGTTTGACTTGTTCCTGTAGCTGTCGCAGCTGGCGTTGTTGATGGCTGGACAGGTGCTTCAGTTTTTGTAGCGCTTTTATATGCTGCACTTGTTGCAGATATGTTTGCTGTTTTCTCAGCTGTAGCTCGGATTCTGTTAACTCTGCCACCTGTTGATCTTCGTTAGGTTGACGGCTCTTTCGTTTATTGATATATTCGATTAGCGATTTGTTTTCCCTTTGACTTTGACGGGATTGAGATGATTTGTTGCTTGAACTGTCTTCATTTCGCTTCGTTTTCAGCTTTCCATTCACATATTCGATACCCTGATATAAGTCCTTAAATTCATCAAGACGCAATTGTTGTGCACTTAGTGCGATCGACTCGGTTTCATTTTCATTTTCAAGCTCCCCAGATAGTTTTCTCTCCTTTATCGAATACTTCCTCTTTGTCGATTTTCTTAAGGTTGCAGAAGAAAGTGTTTTTCTTGCTTTTATATTTTCCCCTACACCCGGGGTTAACTTTGGGAACTCTTCCTGAATGGGAACTCGATTGTGTCGCCGATAGCTTGGTCGCTTATATATAACCTTCGGTAAAAATCTTCTATCTATCACATCGTCTTCTTTATATCTGGGTTCCAGTTGCTTTCCTTTTTTACCTCTATTGAATTCACTGACATCTTTCGGAATTTCACTTTCGTTTTCGATTGCATTGTCTTGCTCCATTTTGAGATTCTGTTCATTGGCTTTTATTAACATGTCCATCATTTCCTTCGTCTTTTGATCTTTGTTGACCTTTATTTTTTTTTGCATTCCGATAATACTATTTACACTCGATTCAATTTTCTGGAGTGTTTTGTATGCCAATTCTTTACCAAATTTAGATTGCATTTTCTTTGAATTTAACGCATTTTCTTGCTCATCTGTTAACTGAATATCGTCGACTATGTTTTGCTTTTTCAGCTGATGACGTTTCTTTTTCTTCACATGCTTCCGCAAGAGCTCTGACGTCAGAAATGCAGATACATTACTTAAATTATCATCGTCTTGGCGTATTTGCTTTTGCTTACGATCCTTTAGATACCTTTCAATGCAACTCAATTCCGACAGCAATCCCTTAAAAAGTTCTGGATCAATCTCTACATCAGCATCCCCATTTATATGGCGCATATTGCTCTGCTTGCGAAGTCTGCGCAGACTATTGGCAATAATCCACTTGCGTCTTGGATGCATTCTCAATCGATTGCGCAGAATTCGCAAACTCTCATTTACTCCATCGTCCTGAGCGCGCAATTCTCTGATTTTCTTCTGCTGAAATTTGTTCTTCTTTTTCCACTTGTTCAGCGAACTTTGGTAAATGAACAACAGCCGGGCGACCTGTGCCTTCGCCTGTGCCCTGGATGACAATTTCCGCCTCTTCGAATAGTCGGCTAAGAGTTGATTGACAGCTCCGGCCATCTGCTTACGTATTTGACGTAACGCCTTCAAGCGCTTACGTGCCAGCAATTTGTACTTCTGAAGCTCCTTGTCCTTGTGATGAATCTGCTTCTTGATGTGCATCAGCTGCACCCAGCGTTTCGCCAGCAGAGACATTTTCGAATGCTTTGAGTGACTTCGCTTACAATTAATGTTTACCAAATTTTATTTCAGTTCCAGCTTAATAATTTCGTGCTTATGCATTAATTTAAATACAATTCAGAGTTTGTTTGAAATAAATTTATGTAATTAAAAGAAAATGTGTATAAAATTTGATTAAAATATCACAAGTAAATTGGGCTATATAATAAATAACTTAACTATGTTTATTCTTATAGCTAACAGTATTTTAGTTCTTCATTTTGAACTCATTCTTAGGTATTCAACATAATTAATTATCGAGTTTGATCGACGTTTGAGTCATTGGGTCAAGCTGATAGCGGTACTTTTGCTATACTCTTCTGGCTAGGTAAATCACCGACTCAAGCAAACGGGTATTCCGGGTAACAGTGAAAGGCAGCTACGCTTATCGCCTTATCAGCAAAGGCGACACTCGAAAAGTTCACACAATGTAAATCACATGCGAGAGGGAAGCACAATTGCAGCATCAATCATCGCATCTCATCTCATCTCGCTACGCCAGCTAACTATATAACGTATATAAAAGCCAGGTGAGGTCCACAATCAACAGCAGCAGCTTGAAGCAATCAAGACACAGGCAATCGCAACCACAACAATTAAACATGAGCCAAATGTTCGGAATCTGTCTCATTCTCAGCCTGGGACTGTTGGGCGTTTATGCCGCTGCTTTGCCACAGCAGCCGCATGTCCAGCGTCTGGTCTACTATCCCCCACCGCCGACTCCTGCTCCGATTTTGCGTGCACGTCGACAGGTGCTGGGCGGTTCGCTGGCTTCAAATCCCTCTGGCGGCGCCGATGCACGCCTGGATCTGAGCAAGGCCATAGGCACGCCGGAACACAATGTAATCGGACAGGTATTTGCCGCGGGCAACACACAAACCGGCGGACCCGTCACCAAGCCCGTGACAAGCGGCGCCTCCTTGGCCTACAACAAGTATGTTCATCAATTAACCACGGGCTGCCGCCCAAGTCTAATCCTTGCACAATCTCTGTCACAGCAACGGCCTCGGCTTGGACCTGACCAAGACCCACACTCCCGGCGTACGTGACAGCTTCCAGCAAACGGCCACGGCGAATCTATTCAACAATGGCGTTCACAATTTGGACGCGAAGGCTTTTGCCTCCCAGAACCAATTGGCCAACGGCCTTAAGTTCGATCGCAATGGCGCTGGCCTGGACTACTCTCACATCAGTGGACATGGCGCCAGTCTGACGCACAGCAACATTCCCGGCTTGGGCAAGCAGCTGGAGTTGGGCGGACGCGCGAATCTCTGGCAGTCGCAGGACCGCAACACACGCCTCGATCTCAGCAGCACAGCCTCCAAGTGGATGAGCGGACCGCTGAGTGGCCAAAGAGACTTTGGAGCCAACTTGGGTCTCTCGCATTACTTTGGCTAGGCAGAACTGATAGGGAATTTATCATATAATTATATGAAATCTCACTATATTTATTTTACCTTTGATTTTCTTGTATATAATTTGATTGTATATAATTTGATTGGAAAAACCATTTTTATTTTATTTTTAT